AGGAAATAAGTAAGAAGGAGCCTGATGAATTAACCGGAAGTTGTATGAGGTCCGGATTCAGCTTGATCAGCTAGGTACAGTTGGAAATTAGTTCACAATGACTTGATCAGCTCACAGGAGCTGGAATATTAGCTCACTCAGCTGGGAACAGTTATTGCACATTTAATCACAGCTGGGAGGAGTGTTCTGGTCCGAACCAGTGTGGTCGGGTCCGAGCGGTTATGGATCTAACCGGAAGTCCGATTGGTTTGGTTAATGTTAGTAAATAATTAATTGGATATGGTTATGTTTTAAGGTCTGAGAAATCTATTTTGTGGAAAGGAGGGAAAGGGAGAAACCGCCAATGGCAGTTACTGGGCGGTTATGGGAAGAAACTCTCATTTCTTTTGTTATTTTGGTAACCGCTCGTCCAGGCAGTTATCCAGAGAGGTTATCATCGATTTATCCTTCATTTTATCTCTTCTCTTGGTCAAAAATCATCAGAAGAAAAAAAAGAAACTCAAACAACTTCCAGAGAAAAGAAAGAGAGAAATCGGTGGTTGAGAATTGATTCCGTGGTGGTTCTTGGTGTTTTCCGGTGAAAATTGTCTGAGAGGTTGAAAGGATAGACACGAGACAGAAAGACAAAGAGAAGGAGATGGAGATGGAGAAGGAGACAGTTCCTGGAGATCGTAACCCTAAGGTGAGAGGTGTGGCCAAGAACCAGTGAACATAACCGATGGTTAAGCCGTCTGTGGTTATGGTTCTGCCTGGTTCGGATGGTTACACCTTACTCTGATCTTATACTCTGTTCTTCATCTATTTCTTGTTGTGGTATTGGATGTTGATGTTTCAGGTTTGAAGACGCCGATCTTAGGTCTTGGCCGGATCAAATTAATCATAATAGTCCATGGCCATGGCCGACTAATCATGGTCGAGATCTATATGATTGAGGCCAATTTGAAAATTTCTTTTTGAGAATCTCTTAGTTGATAATTATCATGAATTATCATGAATTTTAATTAGTGTTTCGTAATTGTTTTGATGATGTCAAGTTTTGATTTATTTGATTGATCATGATCCAAATCCATATGGTCTGGGTCGATTCATTGGATTATGATCATGGGAATCTCTTAGTTGGGAATTATAAAAAGTTTACATGAATTTTAATTAATTTTTGGAGTACTTTTGAAAATGACCAGAAGTGGCCTTGATGTGTAATGAGATGATTAGTTTTGATCTTGCAATGCAGTGTGATAGTTCTTGTGTAGTAAACTGATCTTGTGTTTGTGTTGTATGGTTGTGTTGGTCTCAGGTACAGACTTGGACCATGGTAAAGGAAAAGCACCGTGAGGACTCAGGCCATGGAAAGATGTGCGGTGAATGGGTCATTCCTAGTAGTGGTGTTATCTTAGTAGTTTATTGTACAACTTGTGAACTTATGCTAGCCTAATGCAACTTGTTTATTCGGAACGAATGAGTGATGTTTGACTCTGTTTTATCTATCTATGAAGTATTTATGGTGTGAATGATTCTAATTGTCTAAGCGCATATTGAACTGAACCTCAATACTCTGATTTATACTTAGAAATATTGCACTTGAACTGGAATAATTGGAATCTGACTTATTGGGATTGTTTGGTAAGACTGCGGTCTGGTTGGATTGAGAAATCCAGGATCGGGTCTTACACGTTAACTTCTGATTAACAAACATTTAGTTACTAAACAACGTCGATTTGTTTAAAAGAGAAACCCCTCATATAAATACAAAAATCCTCAATTCCTCTCCTTCAAATCCCTAATTTCTCAATTCATCTCTTTCCCAGACATCTCTCTAACTCATCTCTTTCATCATCTCTCTCTAGTAACATGAACCTTGGATTTCCTTCAATCTGTGGCGGGCGAGCAGGGATTATGAAGTTCACATCGAGCACTCAGGACAATCCCGTCCATCCCTTCTTTCGTTGTGAAACCATAGGAGAGGTAAGTGACTTACGTTTGTATTGTTAGCATTATGTGTAATGTGACCTTGATTTTCATCATTTAAACGGATCACTTGTTCAAATGGATGGAAAAAGCGATGCTTAAAGAGCTTGAAGATGCATTACCTAAAGTTGAAGTCCATGAAACCGAGATTTCGAAGATAAAATCCGAGATTGAAGACTTGATGGAAGTTGCTTTGAACAACATAATTGAAATCGAAACGTGTTTTTAACTCATTCAGTACATCCAGAACTCTGTTTAACAGGTGGGAACTTCCCTCAATGAAGATCAGAAGATCGTCAGCGAAGCACATGTGAGTCAGTCTTAAGTCTGTGCAATTAGGGTGATAGCCATACTTCCCATCTTCAGCTCCTTTATTGTGAAGAACTAATAAGAAATTCCTTGCGATGACAAACATATATGGAGATAGCAGATCATCCTGACGAAGACCTCTCTTGCTTTTGAAGTATCCTTGTACTGTTCCGTTGTATCCCACCGAGAAACTAAGCGTACAGATACAAGCTTGAAGCCAACTAATGTACAGATTAGGAAGTCCCAAACTGTAGAGGCATGTTAAGATGAATTCCCAGCTTATAGTGTCAAAGGCTTTTGCGATATCGACTTTGATGGCTATTCGTTTTGCTCTCTTATTCATGTAGTATCCGTTAACAACTTCTGCCGCTAGAACTGTGTTCTCGACAAGCAGACGTCCTTGAATGAATGATGTTTGATTAGGAAGAATTAGACCATTTAACATCGGTTAGAGCCTGTGTATTAGCATCTTGGATATGGCCTTGTAGATAGTGTTGCAGCAAGAGATGGGCCTGAAGTCGCTGATTGTTGAAGCTCCAAGGTGTTTCGGTACAAGTGGTAAGATCGTAGAGTTTGTTTCTGCATGAAGGAAAGCCGTCAAGAAAAATTCATAGATAGAGCAAATTAACTTTGATCCTAGGATGCCCCAAAATGATTTGAAATACCCCGAGGTGAGACCATCTGAACCAAGGGATTTATTGCTGTTAAGTTTCATGATCACTCTAGCAATCTTATCTTACTATGGGACTTTGAGCATAGATTGGATTAACTCAATTGGACAGCGATAAGAGAGGACACTTTGGAACCACAGAGGGGAGCAGGAGGAGAAAGGCAGGGAAGTTGGCGCAAGGATTGCTTGAATGTGATTGATAGCATGAAGTCCCATAGCAAGTGGGTCTGTAAGAAGCAAGCCAAAGGGTAGCAAAAATGACCGAATGGAGTTGAACGAAACTCTCACTTGGACCAATCTGTGGAAATAAGTTGTATTCAAATCCCTTTCTTTTAACCAGTTGATTCTTAACTTTTGCTTGATGTAGGATTCCTCAATTTTTTTCATAAAGCACCATTTGTCATACGACTCTTTCTCTTGATGAAACATATTAGTAGTGGGATTGTTGAGAGCGTGTAGCTACATAGCTTGAAACAAACAGTTTGTACGCCTCTCTCACTCTCTTTTGAATATTAGAAAAAATTGAATGATTTAACAATTTTAAAGCTCTCTTTATTTTTCTGAATTTGTAGCAGAGAGTTGAGAGATTAGACGCAAAGCTACCGGCCTGATTCGAAGCCTCCACAATGGTTTGGTTAAATTGATGGTGGTTGGTTAAATAGTTGAAGAATTTGAAAGGTCGAGTGCCAGCTAAAAGAAGAGGGACAAAAAGGTTTAGCAAACAGGGGGAGTGGTCGAGTGTCGTTATTATCCATGCTCTCTGTTTATCTGGATTGTTTTGAAGTCTATTGTGCAAAGTTTCATCGTGATAGATAAAGTGATAGGAAAAATTTTGGGTTTTGATAAGGAAGATTCTCTAATTGGATCTTCTTCTATGTCTAAGAAGTAGGATTTGAAACTTCCAACACAAGGTAAACTTTTCAGAAATCATGCAAAGTGAAAATAGTTGTAATAGATGTCGGACAAATTACAGTTATTCCAAACGATATTTAAATTTATATTGACATTTTACGAATGTTAAGAATTTATAAGGTTTTTTTCATTTTGCATGAGAGAACATGATTCTTGGTCGAAATGATTTTCTTGAAATCCAATTTATAAAATTTATATCAGTATAAATTATTGTAAATCAGTTAATTGGTATAAATTAGTTTGCATCTCTTAAATTAACTAATAGTGTTAGTATAAACCTACAAACTTGTCTTATTTTTTTCTAATTTTGATAATCCATCTAAAATATTTTATAATAAAATGCCTAAACAAAAATATATTATATAAACATAAAATAAATCAATAATTTCTTAAGGTAAGGGCATCTCCATCAGCAAACCCCCATTGGGGTTTGCCAGGTGGCTTTTTTCTTTTTACTTTTTCAAAAAAAAAAAAAAATTCGACGAATCATGGTCCGCCACGTGGCGAACCCGTGACGAACCCGTGACGAACCAGTATCACCGCAGCTAGCTCAAGTGAAGCGGTTTCACCACTGTTTGTCTCGTAAACCGTGTGAATTCGCCAAGTGGTTTACGAGACAAACCGTGTGAACCCCTCCCCCTCTTGAACCCTTAATAAACTCCTAATGGAGATGGTCTAACGAATGATCCACCTGAGCTACCCTATGGCTAGAGATTTCTTGAACAGTGTGACAAAGTCATTGTTTTGGTTTGCTTTTGCTTCTAGAACTTGGAATTCGTAGTTACAGTTAGTGAAGATCTCATTGTTTTAAGTGATTCCAATAGATCTTGAAACTATTTTCTGGTTGTAATTGTTTTGTTGGTCAATAGAAGGGGAGTTGTTTCATCGAAGGACGTTAAGATTGACAAGAGAGGTATCAATCTTACCATAGAGCCATTGCCAAAGCGATGGATAATCGTGTTGTATGTCTTTATCTCATTCTCTGTAACAAAATATAAATGTCATACTTCAAAAAAAAAAGGATTGTAACAGTTTCTCTAGTGTACCCTCAAGAACCAATTTATCTACCACTACTAACCGCAACTTCTACATATACACACAAAAATAAGATAATAGTTCATGATCATATAAACAACACAAGAACTCATCTTTTGGAGACAACCACTAATATCAACATCGACATTGACACAACAATCTTGAACCCTGAAGTATCCCAAAAGTTCTGTTTCTCCCCAGACACAGATTCATTCAACTGTTTTCCTGTAACCTGTTCTCTTAGCTCCTTGATCGCCTTGTCTCGCTTCTCCCCCATCTGCATTTGCCATTCATCAATCACACAATAAAATCATTTGGTTTCTCATATAAGTCTAAAAGCCACAATCTTGAATTTTACCCTCTGCAGTTTTCTTGTCTGGCTACGAGCTTCTTGCAGACAAAACTCCAGTTTCAACACCTTCTTCCTCAACTCTTGATCTGTTCTTCTTTGTTTCTCCAACTGAATGTTCATTTAAAGTCAATGAGTGAAACTTTCCGACAGTAACAGAACATAAGAAATTATAAATAAAGACAGAGATACATGGATGCTGTACCTGAGATTCAAGTTCCTTAGTCTTGAGTTTCCAGTGACCTGACATTAACCTTATCTCATCTTTTAGTTTTGCAATCTCTTCGTCTTTTACACCCAATAGCTTATTCATTCTCTCAAAGTTCTTTGGAGAAACCTCTTCCACAAGTTTCCTGAGCTCACACTCTGTGTCTTTCCCTGACTTTGCAACAGCTTCTGTTATCTCACGCTCTATCCTAATAACTTCGTCTCTCAGCTGCTTCTGAGAACACTCTCTTGTCCTTAGATCACTCTGAAGACTATCAAGCTGGTGGCCTAGCTGAGTTACACGGTCTTCGTGTTCTCTTAGCAAACGTGTTTTATCGTCAAGTTGTTCTGCAAGCCCTGTGCACTGAAGCTGTGCGGATTGAGCAGAAGCAGCGCTTGTTTCCGCAGTTTCCTTTGTTAAAGCTAGCTGCGATCTCAGGTCCTCCACTTCTTCAAGAAACTGCTCCTCAAAAGAAAAAAGAAAAAAGAAAAAAGAAAAACGCACAAGAGAAACATTCTTAATAATTCAATCAAGAAAGATTTAATAAATAGGTAAGCAAACGATTCAA